GAAATCACCCTCCGGGGAGATAGCCATGTTGCTATCCCATTTCCTCCACTCACCTCTCAAGATTTTAGGCATGTACACATAGGCGTTCAGTGTGATTTTCAAGCTGCCAGGTCCAGTACTAGAACCATGCATTCAGCCATGTGGGATCCAGCCACTTCAACTTCCATGCCTCCCACTAGCCAAAAATTCATTTTTTAAAACCCCCATAAATCTCACTTTAAAGCAAAATGAAGTACCAAAACTAAAAGGTTTGAATTTTACGCATTTTTTTTACCAAAATCCCTAAGGTTCACTACTGTTGGGATAAAAAGGATTGAGTACGTCTTTCCTACACCTCCAGTTTCCATAGAAATGTTCTGGGCCAACCACAGTGGCACAGTAGTAGGACACCACTCTGTAATGCTGGAAGCCATGTGGAGATCAGAGTTTAGATTCAACCTATACACACTGGAGGCAGGAGAGAGGGGCCCCTATGTGCTCGAGACTAGCTAGCTGAAAAGGATGAAATTGAGAGGTTCGTAGTGTTTCAGAGTACCTGTCTGTGCTTCTCTCTCATCAACACAAATAAACTTTTATTTTTCATTTGTTTAAAAGACTTATTTAATTTTATTATTATTTTTTTAATTTGCTAGAGGGCATGTGCACTCACCAGAAAGAGAGACAAAAAGTGAGAAAGCAAGCCACCACGTCAGGGACTCAAATCGCGGTAAGCCACGTGAGGGTGCAGAGCCTTAACCACCATGTAACCTGTTGGCCCCCAAACATCTATTTTTTAAAGAAGAGAACTTTTCCTTTAAATATTCCTAGCCATTTGTCCCTCCATCTCTTACCTGCAGCATTGAAGTAAAATAATTGATCAATTAGTAAATATGGAAGAGAAATTACAGAAATCTGCCTTTTTGTCCGTTTTTAAGAGTCTCCTTGACCACAAAGAACGTACTGTACTCTGCTCCACTACAGAAAATCTAAGGTTGTTTTGTTTGTGCTATAGGATATATGTGTTCACTGGAGAGGGAGAAGACACAGAGAGGGGGCAAGTCAGAATTCACCACTTAGGGGACTAGCCACACCTCAATTCGTTCTCCTCCATTCTCCTCTCAGGATTTTGGGTATGCACACACAGATGCCTGACATGTTTTTCAAGCTGCAGGGTCTGAGACTCAAACCACACATTGTCTGAGATCTTGTGCTTTAACCACAGCACCCACTGGCATCACAAGGTTTAAAATGCTGGGTAAGTCTGCCTATTTCTGTGGTGCAGTTGATAGCGGTCTGCTGTTCCAGTTATCTACTTTATCATCAATAACAATTGCTAACATTTATTGAGCTTTTCAAATACCAGGTATTGTTCTGAGTATATTCCATGCTTCTACTAAAATAATCCTCAAAACAATGCCAAGAATTAGATGTAAATTCTTGCTTTACAGATGAGGAAATGGGAGCAGAGAAAATTGTCTGAGGCCCCACACCTAATTAATGGCAGAATGGAACCATAACCGAATGGTGTGACCCAGAGCCCATTGTTACAGACATGTAAGTGTATATACTAGTTATAATGATTTTCATTTGCTTAACTCCTCTCTAATACATAAGGAACCATGACATATACAACAAAAGAGAAAATAGAATGGAATACATTAATAACCCAATAACACATTAGTTACCCATTCCTAACGAAGTCAAGGGATTGCAGCGTGGCATCTCCCCAGGGAGGTGCTTTCTCACTCTCTCTCTCTGGGGAGCAAATGCACCCTACAGCAAAAGGAACAGCAAAGCAAAACAATATATTTTCCAAAGCTCTTAGTATCCAAACTCATAATGCTTCACTATCAAAACATTTATCACTTGGTATTTTAAGTCAACCAATAATCTTTAATTTGCAGGTAGATTAAAAAACTTTGAAAATATCATTAAAACAATAAATCTTCTCCCTAGAAAAACAAGTTGGCATAACTAAAAAATGAAGAATGAAAGAACATAAATGGGGAACTAGGATCAAGTAACATGTTGGAGAGGAGGTATTGGGTGAATAGATCAGATAAGTAAATATGGGCCAGATCATACAATGCCTTTTTATATGCCAGGGTAAAAATACGATCTTAAAGTACAATATAATGAAGCCACAGGAAGGACAACTGATTGAAAGAAGGAAAGAGAGGAGGGAATGGAAGAGAGAGAAATGTTTAGATAGGATTATACACAAGGTACTGTGCAAATGCAGGAGTACTAAATAAAGAAAAAAAATCTAAGCATGAATTTTTTTAAAGAATTTATTTAATGTTACTTATTTATTTTATTTTAATTTGACCAGAGAGAGAGAAAGAGGGAAAGTAAGAAAGCAAGTCACCAGGATTTGAACTGTGGTTGGCCATGTGAGTGTTCAGTGCCTTAACCACTATACAACCTGCTAGTCCTCATGAATATTTTTTTTTTTTTGAATCTTCAATGGCTCCCTCACTCCAGGTTTATCTACCTTTGTTTCTTTTTTATTTTTTGTAAGGTTTTTGCCATAGGGTGCATGCGTTCACCACTGAGAGACAACAAGAGGTAAAGTGACAAATCACCCCCAAGAGGGAATGGGCACACCACAACCCCTTTTCCTCCCTTCTCCTCCTGGGATTTGGGGCACACACATACATGCCTAGCATGATGTTCAAGCCACCAGGTCCGGACCTGCACTGAAGTTGGCCATGTGGGAGTCCAGCACTGTAAGCACTACACCACCTAGTGACCCCATACTTTTGTTTCTTTATATAACAAACTTAGCTTTCTGTTTTTTCAGTCCATACTTTGAAAATAACAAACAAAAGGGAAAAAATGAGACACTATTAGATACAGACATACTGAAAGTCATAAAAAGTTACGGCTGACATAGCAAAAGTGCTGGCTAAGTGCAGAGAAAGACTTTTTTTTAAAGCTAATATGACAAATTAAGATTTATAGGGCCAGCTAGGTGGCATGGTGGTTAAATATCCCACATGGCCAACTCCACTGTTCAAGTCCTAAACGTGGTGACTTGAAAATCACACCGGGTGCATGTGCACGTGTGGCCAAAATCCCAAAGAAGAATAAAGAGACTGCACTGTGGCCATTCCCCCTAGGGGATGATTTCTCACTTCCCCTCTCCTTCTGAGAAGCGCACACACCCTGTGGGAAAAATCTGGAGATTAAAAAAAAGCAACTTTCAGTGCTAGGAGGTGGCACAGAAATTAAGGCAGTTGGATCCCATATGGCCAATGGCACAGTTCAGGTCCCAGGGCTAGCAACTTGAAAAACATACCAGGTATGTGTGTGTGCCCAAAATCCCAAGAAAAGAATGGAGAAGAAAGGACTGCACTGTGGCCATGCCTCCCTGGGGTGATTTTTCTCTCTCTTCGGCAAGTGCACACCCTCTACAGAAAAATTAAAAAAAAAAAAAAGCAACAGCTACCATTGTAACATGCCTTACAGTCTTTAAATACTTCAGGAAAAAATATATTCAAATGATTCCAGGAGGCCAGCATCAATGACACAGTAGGTAGCACAATGATCTGCAGTGATGGAAACCAGACACATGACCAACCACAGGTTTGAAGTAACCCTGAAACATGTCAGTTGAGCACGCACCCAAGATGCTGACTAACCGCTGATCATGGTGTGATCAGTCCTTATTGGGGACCTCTCTCTCTCTTTCTCTCACGCACATTGTCATGCAAAAATAAAATAAATTTAAAGTAGAATAGTCCCAAGAACTTACACTTGTAATCTCATCCTTACAAAACGCTATAGCTTCCGGTTGCTTGCTTGGAGGGAAAGCCGCTTCAAATGCATCTTTCGCTGCACAAGCAGCTGGTGTGTAAGTGTCACACTGAGCCATCAGCCAGTATCCCATTAAACTTTTTAAATAGGGGGCCAAATGTTTCTTTACTTTAAGGATAAGTTTTTCAAAAGCTTGTTGTGTAGCTTCTCGAACTCGGCGGTCATGATCCTATTGAAAATAAAAATATGGCTTAGAATAGCTCTAGCCCATACAAACAAACACAGACATTTCTAGATATATTATAATGACCCATCACTAAGAATTCACTTAAATCTAGAGCTAACCTAAATATTTTTGAAACATCAAAAATTTGAAGTTTTTCTCAGAAATTATGTGAAATAACTCATTTTTCCTTCTCCCTTCCCCCACAGTGAGATAAAACTACACTCAAGATAGATTCAAGACTGAGCCTGAGATAATTAAGCAATTTATATTCATTCTTTTGCAACAAACATATAAGAGAATAAAATAATTATCAAAATTTATTTCAACTGCAAACTATCTGGTAACTCTCTAGTAATGACTTAATTTTTAAAAATACAGACTTTTTATACAGGCGTATCTCACAGTACCACATATAAAATTTTTTGGTTTCCAAATACACATGTTGATATTACTATAGTCTATTAAGTATGCAACAGCAGAGGCTGGCAAGTGGCATGGTGGTTAAAGGCATGGACTCTCAAATGGCCGACCACGGTTCAAGTCCCAGACATGGTGGCTTGCTTTCTCACTTTCTCTCTCTCTCTCTCTCTCTGGCAGGAAGGAAGGAAGGAAGAAGGAAGGAAAACAATAATAAAAAATAACAATAATAATAAAAAGTTAAATATTTTTTTAAAGTATGCAACAGCATTATTTCTAAAATAAATACATATTCCTTAATTTTAAAATACTTTATTGCTTAAAAATGCTAATGATTGGGCCAGCTGGTGGCATAGTGGATTCCACATAGCTGACAGCAAAGATGAGTCCCAGACCTGGTGGCTTGAAAAACATATGGACATGAGCATGCATGCCCAAAATCTTGAAGCAAGAAACAAGAAATGGACTGATGCATAACTATCCCCCACAGGGGTTGTTTTCTCCCTTTCCTTCTCTGTCTCTCTCCATGAGCACATATGCCTTCTAGCAGCACTATTTTAAAAAAGGGAATGATCACAGAAGCCTTTAGTGAATCACTCTTTTTGCTGGTAGAAGGTCTTGTCTTGATGATGGCTGCTGACTGATAAGGGTGGCGGGTACTGAAGGTTTGGGTGACAATATCTTTTCTTGTTTGCTTTGCTATAGGGTGCTTGTGTGCTTGCCAGAGAGAGACAGAGAGAGAAGGAAAGTGAGAAATCACTCCCAAGGGGCGATAGCCATGCTACAACCCCTTCTCTTCCATCCTCTCTAGGCATGAGGCATGCACGCACACGTGCCTAGCATAATCTCCAAGCCGCCAGGTCCAGGACTTAAACTGCACAGTTGACCATGTGGGATCCAGTACCTTAACTACCAAGCTACCTGCCAGCCCTGGGGTGAGAATTTCTTAAAATAAGAAAACAATAAACTTTGTTGCACTGGTTAACTCTTACCTTCATGCAAGATTTCTCTGAAGCATGTGAGACTATTTGATAACATTCTACTCCACTAGAGCTTCTTTAAAAATTAGAGTAGATCCTCTCAACCTCTGCCAAATCTTTAACAACTAAATGTATTTTTTATTACTTTATTTTACATTTTAAGTTTTATTTATTATTATTTTCCAAATTGACCAGAGAGAGACAGATTGAGAGAAAAAATGAAAAAGCAAGCCACCAAGTCCGAGACTCGAACCACTGTCAGTCATGTGGGAGTCCAGCACCTTTAACCACCATGCCACCTACTGGCCCCAACAATTTAAAATTACATAATAAATCCTTTGCTGTTATTTCAACAATGTTCATAGCACCTTCACCAGATTCTTTTCACTGTTTTTGTTCCTCCAGAAGAAGCAATTCATCTGTTGAAGCTTTATCCTAAGTTTGCAACAATTCGGTCACATCTTCAGATTCCATTTCAAATTCTGGTCCTCTTGCTATTTCTACCACACCTAGTTACTTACTCTATTGAAATCATAAGCCCCTTGAAGTCATTCTTGAGGGGTGGAGTCAACTGTTTCCAAACTCCTATTAATGCCGATATTTTGACATCCTCCCATAAACCACAAATATTCTTTTTTTTAAGAATCATTTTATTTAACTTTTTTTTTTTTTTTAATTTTACCAGAGAGGGACAGAGTGAGAGAGAAGAAGAGAAAGTCAGAGAGCAAGCTGCCAGGTCCAGGACTTGAACTGTGGTTACCCATGTGGGAGTGCTGCAACCTTTACCACCACGCCACCTGCAGGCCCCAACCATGAATATTCTTAATGGCATCTAGAATGATGAATATTTTCTAGGTTTTAACTTAACTCTTCTA